AGGGAAAGAAATTAGAGAAAGGAAGCTGAAGGACTTGTCAGAACTTCTGAAGAGAAGGTCCATGTTCTGGTACTGTAGCCACGGCTGTGACAGACAGAAAAAATGTTTTGTTATGGATCGTAGAGTAGCCATCCTGATCTTAGATGCTGACTTAATCTGAGGTCAAAAGAAAGCTACACAATTAGTCTTTCACTTTACAAGACAAATAAGGAGGGGTTTTAAAATGTTAAGTATGACAACCCTCATGATTTTCCCACAGCAAAACCAGTTTTCCTGTAAATACTGAATTTCCTAGACAGTAGTTGTTACAAGGAGGACTGAGTATGGAATGATTTTTGTGTTTTCTTTCATGATGTCCTGCGATAACAAGGCCACCTTTGACATGTGGGGCCTACCGTATTGGAACTTAAATGCCTGAGAAGGTGCCCTCAGATAGGATATCACAGTTCAGAGTGATCAGATCCAATCGCTGCATTTTGGGACTGGAGGGCAAATGACACTATCAGCAAAGCATCACAGATATAGTTAAAGAAAAGAGATGATGCCAATGCTTGCAGTATCACATGTTTTATTTAATGTTACTGATTGTTTTTAGCATGCAATAGTCTGTCACTAGTGATAGAGTTCTTGGTGAAGTTGTCCTATTGCAGCTCACTAAATTTTTGAAGGATACTGGGTCTAACTCTCTTCCTAGCTGTGTTTACTTACAGCCAAGTTAATGAGGAGTGTGGGAATTTCCTTATTGTAGGGGTGTACTAGGTGACCTGAAGATCCATCTGCCTTTTTGCTAAGAGTCTTTTATTCAGCAGTGTTCCATTCACAGTCAACAACAGCTTCAAAGTTGTCCTGTTTTTCCTGAGTGGTTGACACAGTATCACTCACCTTGCCCCAGATTGAGGACCTTCACACACATGGTTCTTGTATTGGGAACAGCATGACCAGGCTCAAGAAGAAGGGGTGAATGCTGACTACAGCAAATATTCTGGAGAAAGATTACAAAGATCTTGTTTGTGAGAAAGGAAGCCGAGTGTACAGTTGTGGCAGTTCATGATGTGACAGTGTTATGTACTCCTGGGCACATGCACCGGGCTTCCACATCTGCTTTGGGTTCCTCATACATTTCGGACATGTCTGTAGAAGAAGTGGCAACAATCTAATGTAGAGAACAGGTGGTCTGACTGTTTGATTTCACAGCACAATTAAAGCTTTCTAGCCAGACAGAACAGTTCAGGTCATTAAGGATGTGAGTATCTATAAAAAATCAGGACCTGAAATCAGACTTCTGAGCTTTGAAGTACAGAGACAGTCATTATATAAACCTATGGTTTGCATAGCCGTAATCTTGCTAGGTCTTTATCAGTAAAGCTTTTTTGCTGGCAGGTTAAGTAAGATCCTTTAGGATAAAGGGTCCTTTAGGATAAGACAGAAGCTGGTTAACCATGCAGGGACTTGAGGAGGGTGGGTGTAGGGCTCCTGCTAGCAGCACTGGTTGTGGGGTATGTGCCTTGTGAGTTATGTGCTGAGCGGAGCCGCCACCCAGTTGCGTAGCCTCTGTTCCATCAACAATGTGTCTGCGCCCAGATTTGTGGCCTGTGTCACATACCATCTGGCTGTGTTAAACTACTTCTGCTTAGTGTTTACTTCTTGCTCTTTGAAGCTGTAGATTAGCTCATGCCATTGCATCACAATTCCTTCTGATCTCTCCATAAAATAATTTTTCATTACTTTAGGTCTTTATGTACTTACGCTTTAATTCCGGCTATTTCAAGTATTTGCTGTGATGTCCCTTGCATACTTTGTCTATCCCAAATAACCCTTACTCTTTTCTCTCTCTCAGCTGCTTTTTCATGGATGCTTCCACACACAATTTCATGTATTCTCTGCTTCCATAGCTGGATGTCATGTCAAAACTTAAATATTCTTTAGCCCATGACTAAGAGTATTTTATTCATTGCAAATCACGTTTAAATACAGAAGCATGTAAACAGAAGACTTTTATTTTTTTTTAGTGTGTATTAGGATGGCCACGTTCAAACCTGTCAAACCATTTTTGATGCAGCTTTACTATTGTGAACACACCTTTTGGAACAAACAGCACCTGTTGTGGTCACCCTGAATTATTTTTATTTTTGTTTGTTGAAGTATGAAAGCATGCTTTTAGCATTTTATTTACTGTCTTTTTTTTAAAAAGTTTAAAAAAAGCCCTCACTTAGTCAGACTGGATGAAGAAGGTACCTAGGGGAGATGCCTGCGTAATGCCATTGTGGTTTCCTTGTCATGTATGATAATCAATGTACCTACCTGTGCGTGTGTTCAAGCCTGTTCTTTTGACAGTCTTGCAAACCTCCCTTATTACATATATGTATATAATTTAGATATAGCTTAGCCAATTTTACTGTGTGCATATGTCCTTGTCTTTATATCTGATAATTTTCTGAGGATTATTTAATAATTTGTGAAACTGTTCACACTTTAGAACTGTATGCTCCTTGGAGGACGCAAGAACACAGATGTACCATTGGAGGGGTATCTAGTAACGCCGATACAGAGGATATGCAAGTATCCCCTTCTTTTGAAGGTACTGGCAAGATGTTTTTCTAGGACTTTATACTTCTGTAAAAAACTGGTTGCTAAGCATATTTCCAAACTGCAGGAACAATCTCTCTACACCATGAATAATCTCTTTATTAGATGTTGGATCCAGACTTGCTCTCATTAAAGGTGGTGGCAAGTCTTCTGACATCAGTATTGAGAGGATTGAGGAGTTTGGCTGGGTTGAGATGATTAGCTCTCTTCTGCATCTAGTCGTAAGGTTGCCTCTCCATTGTTGAATGGAAGTGAGCCATTGAAGGGAGTTTAATGAGACCGATTTCAGCTGGGTTTGACCATATTCTTGCTTAAAATGCTTGGGATAGCAGAGTTTGTTAGTGACATGCTTTGATGATTCTAATTTACCCTCACCAAACTGTAAATGCAAAATATTTATGAAAATTATTTGTAAGAAAAACTGTAGAGTAACAGTAAGATGCTGTAGGTGGTTCTATGCACATTTGTGTTTATTCTTATCTTACTGTTACAACTTAAAACTTAATGAAAAATGTTAAATGTGCTGATAAACTTTAGACATTCAAATCTCTGAGTTACTGAAATTTCTCACATGTTGAGAAATAAAATAATACAATTGTCAGGAAAGTAAATATTTAAAACAAATTTATGCTTAACAAAGTAAGAGTTAATATTGTTTATTGTTTCAAATCATGAGAGAAAAGCCAGAGCAGATTCTGCTGTAGGAGCTACTTGAAACCTGATTATTGGACAGTATTTTTCACAATGCATGTAGGAGTTCAGATCATTGCCAGTTAGGAGGCATAAGTATTTCATTGCACTGACATAAAAACCTAAAAAGCAAGCATGTTAAAATAAGGGGTTTTAAAACAAGTTAAAGAATATAATAATTGCAATGAGGTTTGAGTCATCCCAGATATCTGTGACTTTACAGTTCCTTTGGCCTACTTTAAAATTATTTTTATCTTCTATTTTTTGAATGAAGAATCTACAGACAACGGAAAATAACTGATGAATTACTTCAGGGATACACTGAAATTAATATATTTATGTTAAATTTAAATATAGGGTGTGGTGGGAGCAGGGTTAAGGCTCCAGAATGAATGTACCCATGCCTCAGTCAGGGTATGCACTGAATGCTGTCCGTAGTCCATCCAGCTGTAAATAGGTAGTTGGTAGTCTGAGATGGCAAATCTCAAACGGATACTGGTAAATCCACTTTTGTTTTTTAGTATGGCTGCCATTACCAGTAACCATCTGAAATCAGTGAGTCACCTAAGCTATTGTTCAGTGCTCTGGTGTACAGCACTAGGTTAAACAATAGTGTAGAACTAAAGGAACATGTTTTTGCCCTGAGTTGCAGGAAAGGCAGGTGTTCATTTTGACATCAGTAAACTAACGTTTTTAAGCAGGAGTGTTATACTTGCTGTTGAACAGTTCCATCCTGTGGAATAGAACCACAGAATCACTAAGGTTGGAAAAGAATTCTAAGATCAAGTCCAAAAAGATATGTATATAAATGTATATATATATAAATAAAAAACATTTATTTATATAAATATAAAAACCAACCAAACAAACCCCGCCCCCCAAACCAAAACTCAACATTAAGAAACATTGCTGGGGGCAGAAAGTAGCTGAAATGCAAACTTCTTCCTAAGTGGTGATTAGTTTTATTGTTTTTTTAATGTTTAAATAGGAATTACTGAAGCGGACTCCAAGGAAGCACAGTGACTATGCGGCACTAATGGAAGCCCTCCAGGCCATGAAAGCTGTCTGTTCCAACATAAATGAAGCCAAGAGGCAAATGGAAAAACTAGAGTTTTTGGAAGAATGGCAGTCTCATGTTGAAGGGTGGGAGGTACTGTTGTAAGATTTGTTGCTTTCTATATTGAAGAGGGAGCAACAGTTTTCAGCAGGCATGTATTGCACTGTTTATGTGATGCTGAGGTACTATCAACTCCTAAATTATGTGAAATCACAGCTATTGTTTGGGATCTACTCTTTAAATTGTGTTGTCCATGACAGGACCGCTGTATAAAATAGCAGACTTCAAAGAAAGAGGGAAAATGTTTGGTGTTTGACTTAGAATATTGATCATTTACATCAACATGTATGCATGCACACATGCACATCTATAAATACTGACTTAACTGCTGCTCCGATTCTACTGCTGTCAATGCCTGCCTAACAGCATTTTGTCTGGTTGAAAAAAAAATTTATTATTTATTATTGATTAACACGAGTCTGTTAGTGTTTGTCTGCTTGTAGGTAGTCCCTTAAAATGTGTTCAACAGAATCTGTGTTAAGACTTTGTGTGTTTTTATAGTTTGCAAACGGAAGAGCTTTAATGCTTTAGTTTCGTGGAGAAACCAGAGGTCTGTTCCTGAGTTAGTTTTCAACAGTAACCAGAAGAGCTGGCCTTTCCCCTAGGCAACAACAGGATCAAGTAGTCGTAGCACCAAAATCTTCCTGTTGTATTATTTTGAGAACTATGAATATTTAATGCAGAAAGATAGATGTAGATACGTGTGTATCTTTAAATTGCCATGGGTGTTTACTATGGAAATGTCTGAGCTGCCCGCACTGCGGTGGAAAGGAAACACGAGTGAAATCCCAGTAGAAGACATATAAAGCAAGTAATAAACATTTTTTTTTTTTTCAAATGACATTTGAATATAATACACACGGTTTTTTAAGATATGAATTTCAACATGGAAGTAGTTCTTTGCTTTTATTAATACTTTACTTAGATGTGCTACTTCTCTTCCTCAGAGAGCTGCTTAAGAACTAGAAGAGATTTTATCCCTTTAAACTTTGTAGAAAGCTTGCTGGCTGGAAAGATAGCAAGAAAAATGTATTTTTTGCATGTTAGTCTGATAGACTGAGACCTGATCTTTCAGCTATGTAGTAGGAAATGGCCTTTGTACAGTGCAGAGAAAATAGAAGATTAGGGACATTGATGGGACATTGAATCAGAGAAAGCTTTGAGATGGGCCTGCCTGAACTTTAGCTGACAGCTGCCCAAGAAGTCTGACAACTAAAAATTAGAATATTGACAAGAACAGTCAATTTTAAAGCAGATATTCATAGTAATAGATAAAACAGGAGAAACAAAAAAATAGTTTCTATACAGCTCTGTTCCCTCCCTACATCTCCTGCTGTTACCACACCTGCTGTTTCTTGAACTTGCTATGCCTAAGGATGTGCTCTGCTTCTGCAGCAGTGGACTCGATCTCCCCCTGCCTTCCAGAAGGGTTCAGCAGAACAAACCGCTATCTGAAAGGAGCATAAAAATTACACTGAACAAAGAACCTCCTAAATATGCTGCACGTGACACTGCAAAGTTATTTCCTGTCTGCTCCATGTGAAATCTCCTGATCTGTGGACTTATGCAAACCTTTGGTTTCATGTTAGTTGAGTAGTGTGGGAAGATTTAATTCATTCTAAGAGTGGATTAAGCAACTAATTTTACTTTAATCAAAATTCTTTGTGTTTCTTGAATGCATTGTGGGATTTGAAATATATCACTTAAGGTATTTTTCCTTTTCCTGTGTAGCAGCATTTTCAAGAACTGCCCTTCCATTTCTGTAATTGGAGTAGGTGTAATTTAGAGCAGAGAAATCCTCTTATACCAGCGTTCAGGGCACTGTAGTCTTTTGGTACAGGACTTTCACTGTAACACATTACACAAAAATTCACTGCACCTCAAGAGAAGGAAATTCATCAAGTAGAAAAACTACAGAATTGCTGGTCTGTAGTCAGACAAAGCTTTCTACATTAGTTGTAATCCTCAATCTTAAATGAATAGATAAAAAAGCCATAAAGACAAATGACAGAGCGTGTGTACTCATACCATGATATTGTTTGCAGGATTTTGAAGGAGAAAGGACTACTGAGATAAAGTAAACCTCTAAATGTTGTAATTGAGGAGGTCTAGTTGACCTACCACTTTCCAAAAGAAGCAAATGTCTTAACAGCTGCTTGTTTAAACTGGGTGAAAAAAAGTTTCTTTTTGTTAGTAGCTTGAACTTGCTGTCATCAGCAGTAACTTGGGAAGATTAGTGTCTCCGTGAGCATTAAAATGCATTAGATATGCTTGTGCAATAGCTGCATGATAGAAGCAATAGCAAATTAAGTGCTTATGTTGCTTAATATTTTATGGAAGGGAATTTGTTAAATAATCCTTATAGCCTATCACCGACTTTTTTCCTTCTATTATTTTCAACTTTTCAATGAAGTCCTCTGCTGCACTAAAGTGATTAAAGTTCTTCTGCTTGCTTTCAGTGCCTGAGTTTCATAGATATTTGTCAAATGCATCTTGGTGAACACGCTCAAGTGTAAAGTTACATTATTATTAACCCAGTGCGTTATTAGTCATGTAAGTTGGTTAAGAACTGACTGTTCGCAAACTTTGAAGCCTGAAAAGGGAGTCCACTTTGCATTAAGTTTCTTCTGAATCCCTAGTAACACGTACAGTACTAAATAGGTTTGCTGTTGAAAATACATTAACGGGCAAAGGCAACAATAAGGAAGGGTAACGATATGGACAGAAGCACGCGAAACGTAGACTTGTTCTCTCCATGCTCAGAGTGTATTCTGTGAACCGTAACATAGTAATTTCCTTCCAACCTTGTTTTTTTTTCTTTTTTTCTTTGTTTTCTCCCTAGATTTAATTTTAGGATTTCACTTGTGTTTGAACTTTGAAATACTGCCATTGTCTTAAAATAGTATGTTTTCAGTAGAGTTATGTGGTGTTTATTGTAGCTTAGCTGATCGGGTTTGATGTTATCGGATGGCAACCACAGGGTGCCCATTCTGGCAAAATTGCCCTGATCTTAATATGCACATCCTTTTCAAGCGTGATATACAGTTAGTCCTTGAAATGGTCAGAATTCCAGAGCATGTATGAGAGCTAACAGTATTTTGAATGTTTCCCAACAACAACTACAAAAAAAACCTCTGAATGCAATGGATGAGAGTGGATTCAATTAAATAAACATCTGGTTTTCTACATTGCCTAAAAATAAAGAGGCAAACTTGTTGGAGATTTCCTTCCAGAAGGAAATGCTTAGCACATTGCTTGGCCCCAACCAGAAGGAAAGGGAAAAAAATAAAGACTATTTTTAGAATCTGATCAAAGCATGACTTGAATTCCTATACTTAAGTGTCATAAAATGAAGCTTGTGTTTATTATGATAAAAATACAGATTCATGGAAGAATGGAACATCTGTTTCAAGAAGAAAATTTTGAGTATATGACTTTCTCACTTAATTTCCTAAGTGGTTAAATTTATTGGCCTGAATTCAGTACTTGTGTAGGTGGCTGTCTCAGCTGGAGAATGGCTCAGCAGCTGAAGGAGTCTGTCAGTAAAATTTGCGTGGATGTTTCAGTGAGAGAAGAAAAAATAAAATCGTTGCATTTGTTGTAAGCTGGAAACCGAACAAGCCAGTCTGAGTCACAGGCCAACTTAGTGACAATAGCATGGGGTGTTCTCTTCCTTTCCATTCCACCATATCATCAAGTAGTATTCTAATAGAGATTTCTGATTTAAACTCCAGTATTTTTAGCCCTTTTCTCTATTTTATTTCTTTTTCCTGTGCCCATGTGCAAATACTGAAAAGCAAGCTAGTATCTGTGATTTCTGACCTTTATCACTGTTAACATGCTGACCACTGAATCAGTGTGGTCAGACCTCCGTGTTTGACTGAAGTTTGCCCAGAGTATGTAGATAAGTAGCTTTTGCAACAAATAAAACCAACAAATGCTGCTTTTCATCTCAAGGTATCAAAGGTGATTTTTTTAATGTCAAAGATGTGTATTTAGTGACTTAAGGATGAGGGGGATACTGTTTTAAATTTCTTGCATATAGTCTCTCTCCTTCCAGCACATTTTAAATGTGTTTATTTTTTGATATGGTCGTGGTAGCCTGCATGTTAGATCTCTTGCCTGAGCTGTGGCCTTAGTGGAGTGACAGGTGACTGACTGGCAGCCCAGGGTTGTTAGAAGCCAGTATTAATTTAATAGCCTGCAAGCTCTGAGATCCCATGGGCTTTTAATTTCCACACCAGCTATCCTGGAAAATCACAAAGTCCTCAGCCTCACTGCGACCCATAGGACAGGACTGCTGTACAGTTAGATGTCTGGAGTCTTTCATGGCTCAGTAAGAAGGATGGTCTTGATTCACAGTATAAGCTTGCTTTGCAGGTCAGGTTTTCTTCAACTGAATCCTTTGTATGTTTTGTTGGAAGATGATTAGGGCAGGTTTCATTCTACAATACATGACATTTTCAAATTGATGTCTTACAAAAATGCTAGTTTCACTGAAAATACCCCATCAGCTCTAATTGCAGGTGCTTTAAAAGTATAGAAACATGAAATGTAGCGTAGTGGTAGTGATTTCATGTTTAGGTTGAGCAACTATATGATCTTCCTTTACAAGCATGGAGTATAAATATATGTATTCATGAAAACTTTAGAACAGTAAGTTAGTTTTCAGATTTAAATTCCTCATATTTGAGATTTTCATGGTAGTTTCAATTGAAGCATTTAATGAAAATGTGTTTGTGTTAGAGGTTTTGGTAGTGTTTATTCCAAAAGTATTGCTTGTAAGTAGTGTAGTTGAGTCTTAGCTGTGCACTAGATAGCCGCTCCTGCTTCTGGGACAAGGCTGACCTCTTGTTTGTTACTGCAGCCTTGAGCCTTCCCCCATGAGAGGGACAGCTCGGAGCTGGGTAAGTGAATTATCCTAATGGGTTGGAAAGCAGCTGTAGGTTGGGTATTCCTGCTGTAAACCCATATGGAGATTCAAAGTGTAGCTACATCCTTCGTGAAACCATTCTTCAAGCTGTCAGTCCTCCTTTGAATTGCATGGTAGACATGGCAGTGCATGTGTGCTCTCTGCTTTATCCTTCTTTGGATATGTTTTTCATCCCTACGCCACTTGGCGGAGAGGAGTGCTCAGCCCAGGTGTAGAGGCAGCAGTAGTTGCACATAGTTCCTCTTCTCTCCCTTGCAGCTCCATGCCCACGCAGAGTCTGGCAACAGGCTGACCCTGACAGCGTTACATGGGCAAGGGGGTGACAGGGGATTATTCCGCACTGGCAGAGTTATGTAGGACAGCCAGATGTGACTTCTGATTCTGTTATCTTATTCCCTTGGACTTCAGCAAACAGAACAGCAATAATAAAATTCACTGACCTGTGGCCACACCAGTATGGGTTGTTATCTTGTCAAAAAGTATCTGATAAGTGAAGTTAACACAGTTCAGTAGTTCGACGGGAGGTCTCCCAGGGAAAAAAGTACGCTAGAATGTTTTTTTTTTTTCCTTTATCATCTAGCAGTTTATATTAGAAAAGGAGGAAAATGAAGAGGAAAATAATAGCAAAGGGTAGTAATGTGATACAGATGATACTCACTTGTCATATTGTAATGTTGAACTTGAATCATGAATGAGGCAAGTATTGATAATTCAGGTAGCCTGAGTTCTATACTTTTAAAATATATATAAAATACAGTCTGTGGCATGATGGCACGGTAGCAGACCTTGCTAGGACTTTTGGGGAAAGTATGTATTTTTCTACAGTGAAAATGAGATTTTCAATAAAAAGAGACAAAAGGTTTTCATAAAACCCTTTCTATGAAAAAATACACCTATTTGTAGAAAGCTGAAACTGCTGAAACAGTTTTGAAGCCTTAAGCTGAAATTTTTTGGCTTGCCTGCAAAAAAATACAATTTTCCAGCAAAGCTGAAGTTTTCTGTAAAGACAAACTGAAAACCTTTAAAAAACACCCAGCTTTTTAAAATGCAGATTATTACTAAGTACTATTCCAGCAAATTTTAAAAGCAGCATAAGGTGTCGGTTACTCTTTTTAATACACAAAAGCAAAGAAATAGAATGGAAACAAATGAACTGCTTTTCTGTAGTTGTGGTCAGCAAATATTACATGCAGCCCTCATTAATGTTAATTTGTATTACTGAGTGTGTTTTTCAGGTGTTTCAGTGTTTGGTTTGAAATAAAACTGTAAAATTAGTATGCCAGCTTCTAGTGCTGCTTCTACCTTAAGAAGGGAAGTATGGTCTCATGGCTATAGAGGACGTTCATTTTTGGCTCATTTGATCCTTAATGGAAACAAGAGTGGTTAGTTAGTACTGATACTGAAGCGGCTTTATTTTAGAGGCCTGAATTGTTTTCCAGTGGGATGGTTGTGCAATCTCTCTTATCATCCCTGTAAACAGTCTGTGTCTTCCTTAGAACAGCATCTGAGCTATTGCTCAATATTCAGAGCTGTGACGTACAAAGGATGAACGGTAAGATGAAGAGCTGAGAGCGGAACCCATGATTGCTTCTTGGCTCCTAACTGAATGCATTTTTCTTCGGGCTACTGTGGTTACATCAAGAAGAGGAAGTAACTAGAGCTATTGCAGGCATAGGTCATTCAGAACATGTGTAGATGAAAGGAAAGTCCTGGCTTTTGCAGGTTTTCCAAGTTGACTGTCGGCTGCCTCAAGTTAGGAAAGTGCTTGAGCAGCCACGGGTGTGTGCTCAGTGCAGCCAGCACGCATAATTATCAATAGGATTGCATGGCTGGAGGCATACAGAAGATGGGCAGGAGCTCTGTCCCGCAGGAGCATTGATTTTCAGAATAGCAAAATGTATCTCTGAATTCAAGGCAGTTTTCCTTGGAAGGTAAATGTCTCTTTAAAAGGCATAGAAATGCCAGGACTTTTTTGTAGAAATATTTTTTTTGAAAATGTTATCCTTTGTTAAAGTTGCTTCTTTTTCATTAACCTGTATGAAAATGCCTGCCGCCTTTTCACATGAAAGAATAATCTGCCCTGAAGCAAAAATGAGGTGTTTCATCCCAAACATTTTAAGCCTAGCAAAATTCTGATGTCTTCAGTTTGTTAAGAGGAAGTATGCTAGACAGTCTTAGCTGTATGTGCTGCTGTTAGCTTTGCCTGAATGTTAAATACTGCGGTTTTTTGGTTTTGCTTTTGTGTTTAGCTTAATTTAGTGTAGGAGTATATACCCTTAATGATGTTCAGGTTCCAGGTTCCTTCAGCTTCCATGTTCGTCTGGGCATACATAATGTCTTGTAAAGCCCCATTTTCAGACATTTCTAACTAAAGAGTCAAGTTACTGAGGAGAAGAGTTATTGTATGAAGTTGGCCTGATTTTTTAGGAGGGGTCTCATGCATGAGTGTAATATAATTGGAAAACTTAAGTGATTAAACTTGATCCATTCAAAAAGGCCACAAATCCTCCACCCCAGTTAATGGCAATACTAAATGAATACAAAGCTAGTGTTAAACATGATTAAGTAAACATTAGATATTATTATTTAATTACAATGTGATAAATTACCATGATTTTTATTCTTGATGTTTTAAGAGACTCATTATGGTTGTGAATTTGTATAAGAAACTTTTCCTTAATTGATGCAGCAACCTTCAATTCTCATAGAATAAAAAAAAAAAACAAACCTCTTTCCAATTGATTTTAGGGGTCCAACATCACAGACACGTGCACAGAAATGCTGCGAAGTGGACTACTACTGAAAATTTCAGCAGGCTTTTGGTCTACTGCAAAAAAAAGCACAGGTAAATGATTAATTTATACTCTGAAAAAAGGTGTTGATTTTTCTCACAGTAGAGCTAATCCTCTGTATGCTTTTTTCATAAGAATATTTGAATAACACCAAAGCGTTTATTGTAGTTAATGGGAATATGAAATTCAGCATTTTTAGAGGAGACCTATCATCCAGAGGGAAGTGTATTTAATTCAAACATCGGAAAAGTTTTGTAGGAATGCAGAGATCAAATAATGAAGTGCAGGGAGAAGGAATCCGTTTTGTCCGTCTTCCTCAAGACTTCCACAAGCTTATATGTGATGGCCCTGCTCTCCTCTAGGAAGGGTAAACAGACTGAATTTTTAATTCCAGCAGATTAGTATTGTAGCTTATGCTACAAAATTAGTCTCTACAGATTCAAGAGTTTCAAGCCCTGTATTTCTAATTGGAGAAAACAGCCAGAAAGGTGCTGCTTGCTGCATTGCAAGGAGCAATTGTTCGTTCATCAACAAGCTTCTATGGCTAACATTCAGTGCTCTTATGCTTCTGAGAAATAAGGGTTCTCCTATGTACACCATTGCTCTTGAAACTGCTTGAGTGTCTCTTTGATCCAGAAACTGTTTTTGAGTAGCCACTGAATACATGTTACTGGGTAGATCCTTGGTAGATTCCTAGATACATGATAGACCTTGAGTATGCTCTCTGATAACACTGCCAAATAGCATTCTTTGCTTCTGCCTCTGCACACATGTGCACGGTGTCAGAGGAAACTCCACCATGAACCTCAGTGACCAGTCAAGGAAACTGTCTGCAGCTGCTGAAACTGTTGCTTCATAAATCCATGTTCTGTCGTCACCACAGCCATGCCCATCAGATCAGTGTGAGTGCTGTAAGATTTTCAATGGTAATTCAGATTTGATAGCCAACTTTCATCCTGTTTTTCCAACTGTCTTTTACCAGTGCCTTGGATTGTCATAGCAGCTAAGTGAAAGATGTCTTTGTCTGCACCTTTAATACCCATTTGTTTTGATCAGTGCTCTGGCTTGGCAGTGGTCATGTGTCTGTTAAAGGATGGATCCTGGCCCAGCTGATTTTGAAGGCTGTGCATGAGAGGATGGTCAAGTGCAATGTTAATAGGAAAATGTACACCTGGTGCATCTGGATGAAGGTGGTAGGCCATGCAGTCCAGCGTGTGGGAGCACCCAGCACCATCCACTTGAGGACGAAAAGGCTGACCAGGCAGCCTGATACCATTATGATTTTCTCCTCCCTCGTTGTTTTAGTTGGGAAACAGTGAGTGCTTATCATCCTCTTGCTACCTGTTGTTGGTGGGGGCGGATGAAATGGAAGGAGGTATGAGGGCTGGATAACAGAGACCAGAACTCATATGTATGCGTACCACATTATCCATGTGTTGCATAGTCTAATTACAAGCTCAGATGTATATATACAACTATAGCCAGCAAAGTAAATAGAAATTTATGCATAAAATGCATGAATCTGAAACCAACTTTTAATCGATGCTTTAAAATTTTAGTAGCTACCCTTATTGTCTGCTATTGTATGTAGTTTATGCGTGGTATTTTTCACTTGAGTTTTTGCATAGGACTCATTATTCCAAATATCAAAAAATACCAAATAAGTTTATGCTCATATTCATGATGTTATACATAAAAGCAGGTGGCTAGGGGATGGATATCCCTTTTTTCTCCTCCTGTGCTAATGATAGACTTGTGGTTAGATTCACTGTAGCACCTGTAGAGCTTCTTGCTGAATCAGTATGTGGGGAGATCACACTCAACAGTATGTGGTATGGAAAGTAGAAGGTGGCAGTAGTGGAAAGTAACCATGGACCCTATTGACCAAGAATGTCTTATGAGACTCTCTCTAAATTGTAAGGCTGCTGGGCTTGTTCTGCAAGGACCTTATTCAGACTGGACTGGAAATGCTGTTCTTTTCCAGTGCGTTACTGCTGAAGAAGCTGCTGGCCAGCCCTGAGGGAGGCTTAAAGATCTTCCCCAGTGAATATTGTTTCCTCCTATAGATTGCTCTTTTAACAGGGAAGCATTTATATGTGAGAAGATATGTAATTTATACTTCACTAGCTATAATGAATCAGTCCTTTGTTTTTAAGTTTCAACTTTTGCTTAGGTTGCAGAACTTTTGGAACAGTTGAGTAAGAACCATTGAAGAACCTCATGATTATATCTAGTGTTGAATACTGAATTTATTTCAGGGATATCATTCCACAGCTGCTCAGTTTCATTTTTATGTAGGCTGGTTGAATGCAAACTCATGATCTTTTCAAAATTTCTGATTTTTGCTGTATTTTGTTGTCTGGCAATTACAATTAAATTACTGATTACATAGTATCTTTTCACTTTTGTAGCCATATTCTAGCTAAAATGCACTATTGGATGAAAATCTCAAAACACATGAAAGGTCAATAATTTCTATAGTTTTGAGCAATCATACCTTACATGTCATTGGCTGGTACCATGGTGACACCTCTGCAGATATGAAAATAACTAATTTTAGAACATAGTTCCAGATTTTATGGTGGAAAATGAATTGATTGTTCACTGGAAAGACACTTTGGGTATTGATTGGCAAGTAGGTAAAGAGAGTGTTGCTCACAGGAGGTTTGTATTTTGCAGATTTTACAAAAATTGACCTATTTTTATAGTACGAGTATTTTTTAAGCATCCTTTTGCTGCAGAGTTGTGTAAACATGGATTGCAAAATTTGGGTTCATATATACAAAGGTCACTAGAGTTATTGGATTTACCTCACTTTGGAGAGAAAAAACAGGTGATACTGAACCTTTATGCTTGCTGCTGGTTTGTATTTTTTTTAAATATATTGTTCAATTTTTGAATAAGAAACATTGTATAGTAGAGTTCCTCTCAATCATTACTGTCTAGTGAGTCAGGCCATTTTCTGAAGATTAGTACCTCTCTGGAGTGAGTGAAGGTCAGAATTCAGATGATCATTAATTCTCAGGAGCTGACCTTTGTTTGATATACAGTATTAATTATCGTCATAGGCCAAAACAGACAGAAAAACATGCCTGGCTTACCTGAGATGGGAAAAGTTGTCTAGAACTGGGATTCTCAGAAAGCCTTGACTTCACTGGGAAGAGAGTTACAGCAATGCAAAGTGCTTTGGAATACATCAGTGTGAAATTTCCTCAAAATTTCAGCAATTCTGAATTATAATTCTCCCTTAACCCTTACGTGAGGAAGAAAAAATGTCTTTATAGTTCTTCCGTGGGTAAATCCCAATTATGAGGCTAATATCTGTAGGTCAAGATTTATATCCAAAGGTGTTCGTATTTAATTTTTTCAGTCCTGCTACACTTGCATTGAATTTCTTGGCTAGCATAGGAGGCTTAAACTAGTTAGTAGGAAAGGTCCTTCCAATGCACTATGTTGTCTTTGATGGCAGGCAGGGGCAAATAAGTACCAAAGTGTTGGAACAAGGCATTTACAAAAATGAGACTTTCCTGATAAACTCTCATGTCAGCCAGCAATTTGTAGCTTACTCTTACCAGAGGTAGCATCTTTGCTTTAGCATCTGCAATGCCCCATTCAGTAATGGTTTCCACAGTTCAATAGTGCATGTATAGATGAGTTGTGATTCTTACAGCAGTCTTTAAATGCTGCATGTACAGGTGACATTGCAGAAACACACAAAAAGGTGGTGGATGACGTGCTCCTCTGTTCTTTCTTTCATCAGGCGGCTGAAGAACAGCAAAGCATCTACAGATGGCCATCGTTACCTTTTTCGGGGCAGAATAAACACAGAAGTGATGGAAGTAGAGAATGTGGATGATGGAACGGGTGAGTATATTTTTGTTGCTCATTTACAGAGTAGTCTTTTGAGGTGCTGGAATCAAATGCAGCTTCATGTTTTATTTGAGAATGGAAAGTGCTCCTTGCACATAGAAAGAAAGATCATATCAAAATTCTGCTTCTGTGACACATCATCGCTTTCATACATTATAAGCTGAGCAGTGTAGATGACTGGTTTATGCTAATATGAACAGAGTAATAAAATAAGGTGACATTTATTGCTCAACTGAAATCATGTATTCAACTTCATTTTACAGTATCCCAGCACTCCTGAATAGGTTATCCCTGGGTATGTGATATATTTGGAAAGCAAATGGAAAAGTTACCTCTGTTGGAGTGAAACCTCAAACACTATAAATGCTGAAATTGTAACATAAGTGTTTAAGAAAAAATGAAGGGTTTTTCTAATACCTTTAGGGATATAATCCATATGATTGCTTGAAATTTTCCTGACATACTTTTGAAATGTGGAAACCCAAAGTATTCCTGCAAGTGCCAATTTTTGGTTTAGAAACTTGAGTTTAACCTTTGATTTTAATGACTATTATCTCCTTACACTTAATGAAGAAAACCTGAAACATCTGGGGCTTTTTAATGTAAAACTAAAAAAAAAAAAAAAAGGAAACTTGCAGTGGCGTTGCAAATATGTAGGTGTGGAGGAAATTTCTACGAGTTATGTATTACTTCACCTGATTGTAAAACAGCATTAGGTTTGCCCCACATCTATGGATTCCAGGCATTTCTGAATGTAATTTCTTTCTAAATATGAGCGTTAATGGCAAGGGTTGTACAACTTAAGTAAGCTTCATAAAAGTCTTTCGAAGAAGTTAAATATTTCCTAAAATTAAGATCCTCCCCCTCCCCCCCCAGTCTTGAGTTCTTTGTTTTCAAAATAGTTGGCTCACTTCTTGTTCTACTGGGTAGACTTGGACAACAGTTTTACTGTTGTTCCTATTGCAACAAACTGGTTTATTGGAAAGCTGTTGTGTCTCTCCTCCATCTCTTCTTTTTAAGTTTTTCAACCTTTTGTCATGGGTCATGTTTTCTAAGTTTTATTACCTTTTGTGTTCTTTGGAGTTTCAGTTTTTTTTTTTCATTTTGTTTGCGTCTTTTGTATTACAAGGTGTCCAGAGCTGAAACGCTGATGGTGCCAAGTAGAACACAGTAATTACTGTAGTGCTGCTTGTGGGATGTCTATTACTAATCCCAGGATTATTTGACTTTTCTGAGAGCTTTATTTTTCGAATTAGTTTGTCTTTCATAATACCACACCAGATCCTTCTGTGCCATACCAGTGCCTATCCCATTATATTTTATACTCTGTTTATGTCTGAGGGTAGATCCTAATCACAGAATCACAGAACGTTAGGGGTTGGAAGGGACCTCTGCGGGTCATCTAATCCAATCCCCCTGCCGAAGCAGGGTCACCTAGAACAGACTGCACAGGACCTTGTCCAGGTGGGTCTTGAATATCTCCAGAGAAGGAGACACCACAGCCTCCCTGGGGAGCCTATTCCAGTGCTCTATCACCCTCAGAGTGAAGAAGTTCTTCCTCATCTTCAGCTGGAACTTCCTCTGCTTTAATTTGTGCCTGTTGCCCCTTGTCCTGTCGCTGGGCACCACTGAAAAGAGCCTGGCCCCATGCTCTTGACACCTGCCTTTAAGAAAAGTGTTTAGGAGATCTGCTCTCAGCCTTCTCCAGGCTGAACAAGCCCAGCTCCCTCAGCCTTTCCTCGTCCACACTCTTCTTAATGCACCATAGGATCCCATTGGCCTTCTTGGCAACAAGGGCACACTGCTGGCTCATGGTCAACCTGTCGTCCACCAGGACGCCCAGGTCCCTCTCCACACAGCTGCTTTCCAGCAGGTCCACCCCAAGCCTGTCCTGGTGCATGGGGTTGTTCCTCCCCAGGTGCAGGACCCTGCACTTGCCCTTGTTGAACTTCATCAGGTTCCTCTCTGCCCAACTCTCCAGCCTGTCCAGGTCACGCTGAATGGCAGCACAGCCTTCTGGTGTATACACCACTCCTCCCAGTTTTACGTCATCAGCAAACTTGCTGAGGGTACATTCTAACTCTTCATCAATAAGTTGAACAAGACTGGGCCCAGTACTGACTCCTGAGGGACACCACGAGTTACAGGCCTCCAACTAGACTCTGCACCGCTGATGACAACCCTCTGAGTTCTGCCATTCAGGCAGTTCTCAATAGTTACTATTAATACTAATTCTAATAATTACTTCCTTTTCTGTACTGAATTTTATCTTACTGTTTCCACGATTTATTAAGCATTCAGAATCACGTCTTGTTCCGTAAAGCTCTTGCAATGCTTCTTGCTTGGTTCCATGAGCAAACAATGTTATTACTGAACATTTAAGCTCTTGATAAGTATTGGAAAATGCTAGATATAAGGTTGAGCACTGTGGCATCACTTGATTAATTCTCTTTTTTTACGAGACATTCTTTCTAAGAATTGCTGGACAGCTGTTTTGGGCTGTGTCTTTTACCAGACCCACTGATTTAATTCGTGGTTTAGAGGTATCTGTGGGTACACTATAGTGAATTTCATCAAGCCTCGTTGACTTGAATATAATTTATCCAATATTCTGTATCCTGCTATTTCACTTTTCTGACCTGTATTCCCACCCAATTGTTAGCTTTATTTATATGAAATCTCAGTTAGCTCTTTGTTTATGCAAAAGAGAGTTGAGTGTTTCAGTCTTTTATGTCGTGTGTTGTTTGTCTACCTTTAATTTATTTTCCTTCATCTTCCTTATATGCATTAGAAATAAAAGAGTTTTCCTGTTTCCATTACGTCACTTTCTAAGACAGCATCTCTTTACTTATAACTCTCAACGTTACTGTGGCCACAGAGGCTTGTACCCACCATCATCTTCCTGATGAATATTCCAAGAATTCTGTAACTTTTTTCTTTCACTGATTCTCATCCCACATATAGCCATGCTTTCAGTGTTGGCTTTAACAAGTATTTCTTCCTTCCTCCTTCCATGGCTCTCCTGTATTTCTCATATCTGTCCTACCTTTCCTCGTTTGCTTGTTCTAGCTTTTCAGTCCTTGATCTCTTTCAGACTGTCCATTTTCCTTCCTGCCCGTTTGTTTTCTTCATAATGAATCTTCAAGTACATTCTGACTAAGCACAAGTCGTCTTCCTCTCAACTCCAGACACCAGTAGTCTAATTTCCTCCAGCCACAGGAAATTTTGCTACTGTCCCTGTTTCCTATTGCCTTGCACACAATACTGGAGGCTATCATGCTTCCTTCCCACTTGCTCTCCTCAGCCGTATCAAATCTTGTGACTTCTATATATGCAACATTTCTAAAACCCGTCCTCCTTTCCACAGTTCAGAGACATCAGTTAATGGTGTGGTTATTTTGATTTCTAGATTATGGACAGTGGGCAAGGGAAGAGGTATGGATGTGATCTATCTGGACTTCTGTAAAGCCTTTGACACAGTCCCTCACAACATCCTTCTCTCTAAACTGGAGAAGTATGGATTTGATGGGTGGACTGTTCGGTGGCTAAGGAGTTGGTTGCAGCCAGAGGGTAGTGGTCAATGGCTCAATGTCCAAGTGGACACTGGTGACAAGTGATGTCCCTCAGGGGTTGGTATTGAGACCAGTGCTGTTTAACATTTTCATCAATGGCGTAGTGAGATCGAGTGCACCCTCAGCAGGTTTGCAGACAACACCAAGCTGAGTGGTGCAGTTGACACATGAGAAGGATGGGATGCCATCCAGAGGGACCTGGACAAGCTCAAGAAATGGGCCTGTGTGAACTTCATGAGGTTCAACAAGGCCAAGTGCAAGGTCCTGCATCTGGGTCATGGCAACCCCCACTATCAATACAGGCTGGGGGATGAAGGGATTGAGAGCAGCCCTGCCAAGAAGGACTTGGGGGTACTGGTGCCTCAGCACAAGGACATGGAGCTGCTGGAGCGGGTCCAGAGGAGGCCACAAAAATGATCCAAGGGCTGGAACACCTCTCCTGTGAGGAAAGGCTGAGAGAGTTGGGGTTGTTCAGCCTGGAGACAAGAAGGCTCTGGAGAGACCTTATAGCAGCCTTTCAGTATCTGGAGGGGGCCTATAGGAAAGATGGGGAAAATATTTTCAGCAGGGTGTTGAAGATGTCCCTGCTCATTGCAGGGGGGTTGGGCTAGATGACTTCTAAAGGTCCCTTCCAACCCAAAGCATTCTATGATTCTATGATTCTACTTACCTGCTTTTTTTTCCATATCCCCACATTTTACACCCTCTCCATTTCAGTTTGTCCAATATACTAATTTAATTTCTTTTTATAATTACCTCCATTCTGTGATTCTCTCTGAAATAGGGTAAAGTCTGTGTGATTTCTCTGGCCTGTAGTACCTTTCTGCCCTTTTCTTGCTACCCCTTCCCTCCCTTTTTTAAAAAAAACCACCGTCAGAAGTGTATTCCCTCTCCTCACACTAATACTTTTTCTTTCACTCAGATCATGATGCCCTTCTTTAACCTTCCTCTGTCTTGGTTTCTGTACTGTTCTCATTTGTTGCACCCAGATGTCTTGTTTCTCGTCCCCTGTAGTCATCCGCATTTGAACTGTAACCTGGTACTATTCAGCTGTGTTCTTTTTGTCTCATCTCATTCCCAAGTGTAGTAAGCTGGTCATCTGAGCCTCATTCACGTTAGCTTTGCATGTGCTTTTTTTGCTCTTTCATTATTTTATTCTCCTTAATCATCTATTACCTATCACTTTCTGAAATTCTCAATTTAGAGTGCAAGTTCTGCGTGCAGAGTGCTTATATCTTCGTATCTAGGCATGGCTCTTTCGCACATACTTTTCGTGGGTCTCTATAGAGATTAATGAGTTGAGTCTAGATGACCCTTCCACGGTTCTTTACTGTAGATTTTGGGATCCTCTCCTCACTTGGTATAAGGAACCATAGGGCTCAAGGGAACAGGGTAGCTGAGAGCGTTTGCTGTCAGCGTTGATAGATGTAGGAATGTAGTCTTCGTTGTTTGTGAGTAGATGCATAGAAATAGGAAAACAAATTCCCAGTGTGATTTATTGTCATGCTAATGATATGCCTACAGAAATTAACAAAGCTCTTTCTGAAAAGCAATTTTTCTTTGATGAAATTAGGCCTTGACTGAGCAGTACAGTTGGTGGAAGCTTTCTTTTTTTGTTTCAGCATCATGATGCACTCTGCACTTTTTAATTGCACTGATTAAAGTGGAATGCATATTACTTATCAGGGCAGACTGTTTTTGTTCTTAAAACAATGTGGCTACACAACCACTTCCAAGTATTAGAAAGGTGTATATATTTTGATGGTATAGTTTTTTCTTTATTCAGTTTTTAAAATTGATTTTTGAGAGAAAAGTATATTTCTAAAGTCATTCACCAGCCATTAAATTGGTGTTATTTAGTTTATGAAGACAAGCACTTGAGACTTAGGAAATACCAGATTTATGGTTGCTTATACTATCTTAGTTCTGTCTCCTATTGTCTTGAAATGAGGCATGAAATAGAAAAAACACTACGTGATGATAATAACCAGAGACTGCATCAAACAGTATACAGAGGAGGAAGGGGGTTGATACTATGCAGCAATTATTTCCTTGGTATTTCTGAGCATCACTGCTCTTAAGAGCCTGAAGTCTGAGAAACTTAGGAGTACTTCAATGCAGAGCTTTTTTTTTAAGGGAAGAAACAAATTCTGTTGTATATGGCTGTAACAAATTGCTCGTTATGCATCTCTATTGAATTTTTAACAATGTATTACAGTTCAAATCACAAGCTTTGATGTATTACCAGGTATCATTAGAAGATGATGTCATCTTTCATCACCTTTTTTTGGGAAGTTGGAGACTTAATGATTTGTTAAGCATGCTTGTTTAGACTTTGCATGGAGCAACTTGAAGTCTCATACTCGTCTTGCTTTAACGATTGTGCTGGGTTTGCAAATCACTCTTTTAGCCTGGCTGGCAGCTGTGATTGCCTTGCAGTGGAGAGTGTTCATATATCCTGTGCAGCTGGCCAGTCCGAACAGGCATACCTCCTGGCTGGCCGGCCAGCACATCTGCAGGTCTTGACTGGATTTTGTCCAATAGCCAGTCCAAAAAAAGGTGTAAGTTTGTATGAGGTGATAGCGTAATGCTGAAATGCTCTTCAGGAGGCTTACAGGCATGGGTGTTCTGGGGAGAACAAACTGCTTACGGGAGCCTTGGGGATTGTACTCATGAGGAACACGGGGAGCAAAAGAGAAAGCAGCGGTGTTGCAGTTAAAGGTAGAGGTTGGAGTCAAGCTGGGCATCGCAAGAGTGGGTTACTATTGCAAAACTGGGCAGTAACTACCCACTTTCCTCCACCTGAACTTATTGCCATCTGTATACATTAGGAAGGCTTAGTACCTAGCTAGGTGACTGGGTGTTCACAGAATTCAGTGAGTTTGTAGTGGCATGAGATCATAGAATCATTAAGGTTGGAAAAGACCTCTAAGATCATCAACTCCAACCGTCAAGATAATAAAAGATAAATATGGTCAAAACTGCCAGTGCTCTTGGCCCTGTAGAATTTCTGTCCAGAATGAAATGGGAGGATCTAAATCCATTTTGAGTCTGAGCCATCTTTTTTTTTTTTTTTGCCACAATTTTAACTGCTACCGTTCAATGCATTAGAGATCGTAATATTTCCATACCAAACATGGGTGTTGTGGTGATAGATGTATGGTAACAAAGACCACAGAAAAAATATCACCATGTAGTTTTGTAAATATTAACCTCTAACTTAATAAATAAACAAAAAGGCACAGCTAGTGCCATATTGCAAACTTTGGAAGTATATGCTTAAATAACAGAAAGGGGCCTTAACTTTCCTCCCTCCAGTATTCCCCCTGCCTCTGATCTCCAAAATGCTGCAGTCTGTCAGCTGAGCGCTTCTGTCTGAGGCTTCTTTCTTTACCCTGACTTTTGACTCTGATTTCCTGACAGTGCATGAATGATATGACAGCTAGTTTTCAAGAAAGTGTTTTTAAGGGACAAAGGATATTATGCATAGGTTATGTGAATAAAAATATGATAAATGGGGAAGTGGTATAAACATGATGTTGCAAAAATAACTGCATTTTTTTCTGCATCATAGACTTGCTTGCACTTTCTTGTACACTTTGAGTACTAGAAAGTTTTGTTGGTTTAGAAATTAGCCATTGGTCTCATGGTTTTCTGGTAGTTCCTGACATTTCCCAGCCCAATATACAAAGCTTGGCTGCTTTCCATCTAATTAAAATGCAGAGTTATTGAAAGGATACTAGCATGTCTGCTGAGATTTATGATAAATCTTAGCAAACATTTCAGCAAGGGTTTCAGTTTTGGAAAATCCCATCTTATTAGACAAAATGGGGCTGAATGATGAAAAAGTATTTTCAAAGTAAAAAGCTCTGTAATTATTTTAGTAGTTCAGGACTGACCCCAGGACTTTCTTGCCTCTCAGTGGAAGTTCATGGTGAGAGATTGTTGACCTTTGATTTTTTTTATGCTTTGTACAATAGTTGCTAGTTCGAGTTTTAATCTGTATTTTATGCAAAAAAATTGTATTTGATATCGTGGGACACTTCTGCCTCACAAATTTTCCCCCAGGAAATGCATGCAATCCTAGTGAAGGATATTGAAGGGTGTTAGTTTTGGAGAGGAAGTCTGTTTAGTTTATTTCTGAATGAGATTTATGGACTCGCATGTTAGATGTTACGTAAGTAAAGAAAGAGTAGTGAGTAGTAAATTGCTTCTTATAGCACAGCAGTTTACATGTGAAGAGTCAGAAGTTCTAAATACCTAAGAACATCAGCAATTGTTACCTCTTTCTCACAATGTGCGCACTGAACATAGGGTTGTTAGAAATGTATTTCAAAAATTATGCATTTGGTTTATGCGTTTTTTTAATTTTTAATATTATATTTACTTTTGTGTAAACAACTAAGTCTATATATATTTCTTTATTCAGGTAACCAGTAAAGATACATCAAATCTGTAGGACATTCTTCCTTGTCAAATAGAAGTATATTTAGTCCTTTTTAAAACTTAATGGAAAATCATTCAGTCACCACAGCTGCTCTGAGTAATGTAAGGGGCAAAACCACAATGCTGTTTTTTAAGGATTTATTTTTTACAGTTTAACACAAACAAAAGTACTCCAACTACTGTGATCTGTTCTTTTAATAGGACTGGTTTAGTGTCAAGTTTATACCTTCTTCCATATGCTAGGCAATTGTCTGTTACATTTTAAAAAGGACATTATTTACTGAAAGTTAAAAGTACAGCTTATTAAGTTATAACAGTTCACAAGCAGCACAGATAACTTCAAATTAATTTCTTTTCTTCTGTCTTTCCTGAGCTTTATTTATAATGGTAGAAGTTCTTAATAATTATAACAACTATTGCTTTTTTGAGAGTTGATGCTCTTTAAGCCATTTATCTGTTCCCAGCTGACTATCACAGCAGTGGCCACACTGTTATTAATAGCTGAAAGATCCACAACACCGCAAAGAACAAATGGTTTGTATGCATGGCAAAAACCCCTGAGGAGAAGCAAGAATGGCTGGAAGCTATTTTGAAAGAGCGAGAGAGAAGAAAAGGTAGGCTAATAAACTTCCTTGTTATACTGGATTTGCATGGTAAGGTTTTGGTAGTGTGGGGGCTACAGGGGTGGCTTCTGTGAGAAGCTGCCAGAAGCTTTCTCTGTGACTAATGGAGCCAATGCCAACCGGCTCCAAGATGGACCCGCCGCTGGCCAAGGCCGAGCCTGTCAGCCGTGGTGGGAGCGCCTCCCGATGGTGGTAGCGTCTCTGGGATAACAGGTTTAAGAAGGAAAACAACCCTGCGTAACATAATTTTGCACCAGGAGAGAGAGGAGTGAGAATATGTGAGAGAGACAACCTTGCAGACACCAAGGTCAGGGAAGGAGGCAGGGAGGAGGTACTGCAGGTGCTGGAGCAGAGATTCCCCTGCAGCCCATGGAGGACCCCACGCCGGAGCAGGTGGATGCTTGAAGGAAGCTGTGACCCCGTGGGGAGCCCGCGCTGGAGCAGGCTCCTGCCAGGACCTGCAGAACTGTGGAGAGAGGAGCCCACACCGGAGCAAGTTTGCTGGCAGGGCTTGTGACCCCCTGGGGGACCCCAGCTGGAGCAGCCCGTTTGAGGAGGAAGGAGCAGCAGAGCCAGCGTGTGCTGAACTTATTGCAGCCCCCATTTCCTGTCCCCCTGCGCCACTCGGGGGGAGGAGGTAGAGAATTCAGGAGTAAAGTTAAGCCTGGGAAGAAGGGAGGGATGGGGGGAAGACATTTTTTTAAGCTTTGGTTTTAATTTCTCATTACCCTATTCTGATTTGATTGGTAATAAACTAATTTCCCCAAGTCGAGTCTGTTTTGCCCAAGATGGTAATTGGTGAGTGATCTCTCCCTGCCCTTATCTCTACCCATGAGCCTTTCATTGTGTTTTCTCTCCCCTGTTCAGTTGAGGAGGGGGAGTGATAGAGGGGCTCCAGTGGGCACATGGCCTCTAGCCAGGGTCAACCCACCACACTTGTGTTACTTTGCCAGAAAGCCATACTGTATTTTTATGTTGAGACATAAAACAAAACCAGCCGCTAGGCAAACTTGTGGTGTCAGGTTCAGCTGAGGATTTATGAATACCAGCTTGGAAAAAATAAACGAAACTTGTACTGGGAAGGGCATATTAGCTTGAATAGTGTATGATGGTAGTGAATACTGTTTTGGAAACACAAAGATGATTTCATCTGTGATCTTACAGCTTATCCTCAACTGGTATAAATTGTCATAATTTCACTGAGGCCTGTGAACTATTATGGTTTATGGTATATGAGGGTCGATCATAAATGTCTGTTGAGATTTGCATGCATTGATTCGTTTTTGTGACTGGTCATTTGAATCTTTGAAATGAGCAGGTTTTCTGTGTTGAATCTTCATGCAAATGATCTTAATATGAAATGATACAGAATATACCTACAATCCCATCTTTGATGTATTCCCCCCTACCCAAGAAAGCAAGAAATCACCATTAGCAAAAAACTGTCTTTTTTGAATAACTGAATTAAGGTGGAAGAATACTTTGAAGTGTAATCCTGATCTCAGATGTGACCACAAATAACCTCATGCATTTAAGGTGAACCCAGCACAAAGTAGAACCAGGGAAAGATGATGCATCATCATATTCTGGAGCTAATTTCATTTGCGAGATGAAATATCCTAATCAGTAATGATGTTTGGAGCCTTGGTATTGAAGGAAAATATGACCTTGTAGTTAGATCTGGGATTCTTTTCCTGGTCTGTGCAGGTTTTCTGTCGCCTGTTGCAGTAGCCGTTGTTTTGTTCCTCTGTTGTAAATGGAGACTAGCAATACTTTCTTTGGTCTTTTAAAGTTGAATACTGGATGTTTGTAGAACACCTGCTGTAGGAGCGGAGTTTCAACTAGAGTGTATGAGCACTGGCTAGTGCCATCAGGCATTAATAGTAGAAAAGCTAAAAAGATGCCTTAGAGATCTAAAAAAATCAACGTTTTTAAAATAGCAAATTAAAAAGTGATGTGTGGAGACGGTGTTGAATACAGCAAAAAACAGGTTTGTCTGCTTCTGTGTAGGATATCGTCTGGAACTGGCTAAAAAGGTTTTTAACAAATCCCACTTCACTCTTTCTTGGCTCCCTTAGACTCTGGAAACCTTTAGGTAAGAAATAGAAAGAGTAACTGGGAGTATTTTATGTTGATGTATCCTTACTGTTTCACACTATAATACTGAGCAGCTGGTAGTAGAGATGAGTTTGACCTAAACCTTGCCAAGCGTGAGGTCTGAGGTAGCCATCCCAAAGTCAAGCCATGTCTTAGGATTTTAGCGTGCTATCATTCGAGGAAATTTTCAGCTCCTGGTGTTCACAGTGGGTTTGCCACTAAGGAGATAACCATGAAAGACAGAGGAGAGGATTTGCTACACACTTAGACTCAGTTTGCAACACAGAATCTTCAAAAATATTTCTTGAATATCTCTGTTACTCTATCAACTTATAAATTTTTCCGTCTTCTCCAGCACAGTGATTTTTTTCAGAAGATCTGTATAAATACCTCTTGCAAAGCAGGATTCTGCAACTTAATTGCCATCAAGTTGCCACAGGACTTGGGAACCAAACAGCTGTCTTTTTAGAATTCAAATACTGTATCTAAATGTAGCTACAGTACTTTCACTATGAACATAAAGATGCTTTAATCGTATGTTTACTTAATGAGACATGGAGCCTGTTCACGTGTATGTGTATATATAGGTAATTACACTGAAGTCTAAGTGACTGCACATGTGAGAACAGTGTTTTATCTGCTTTGCAAGTCTGAGAAGACGTAAATCAAATGAGTACACTTCCCAGATCCCTTGGGCTAGGGGTGAGGCTCATGTGACCCCCTCCTGGTTGTGCTGTGCGTGCCTGTGCATTTGTTCGTACCAGTGCTGTAGACCCCACATCTCACAGGGAATGGCAGATTGCAGTGATCTCCAGAGTAGGTAAATACAGCAGGCAGAGCAGGAGTGAGTCACGGAAATACTGCTTCAGTGTGTCGTGTGGCTTGGGGCTTGCTGGGCTGCTCATGTTGGGAGACTCAGAGATTCAAGGTACTTAGGGAAACTCAGCCTATACTGTTATTTGGCATCCACACAACAGAACCTGAGCAAAAGGGAGAGAATGCCCTGAATGAAGTACTGTAGCAGAGACTTCAGTTGTTGTAATTCAGTTATCGACTAGGACCACTTTATAAGTTGTATTTTCTTGCTAGAAGAAATCAAGCTGAATTGGAAACTTTTTGCTAGGAATTACTTCTGTCAGTTTTGGGGCTTTCATGTGACCAACTGAGGTATTCAGCAAGTTAGACATTTATTTAAAAGGGGATCGTCTTTTAAAGCTGATGATGCTGTGACATCCTGATTATTTTTTTTCTGTCAATTTTTTTCAGAATTTAAGTATTGGCATACTATTACTCCGGTTGAATATGCACAGTTACAGTTTTTAAATGTGAAAATATGAACAAAGACTGAGAACATGTACATAAGATAGCCCAGAAATGTGTGGTTTTGTCCAGAATTAATAATTGTTTATTGAGAAAACACACGGGATTTGAAGGTCTGTGGCATTCTTTGGAAGCACAAGCTTCTGTGACTGGCCAGTAGGATTCATAATTCAACAAAAACTGATTTTGGTCATCTGTTACTCAGAAAACATAATGATTTTCTCAAGAAAAGAAACAGGAAAAAAAATCAGTAAGAAATATTGAAATAAAACCATTGATACCTTTCTGATTTTGAAAAAATTCTGAAGCAAAAAAATCACAGAATCACAGAATCACAGAATAGTAGGGGTTGGAAGGGACCTCTGTGGGTCATCTAGTCCAAC